CAGTCCAGTGAGCGGTAAGATGGGAATCCCATAGTGGCAGGTGGTAAAGTGGAAAACCCAAAAAGTGCGGGGGAGGGAAAATGGAAATCTCTCTAACACCGTGTAGTAAAGTGGAAATTTCCAAGAGCGCTGACCGCGTACTCCCAATATTACCGTGGCGCTTTTGGCCCATTTATCCCGGCATTTGTTACACTTTCATTAATTATCCTTGTTAAGTGTTCTTCTTTATTGCAAACGACGTGAGTACGTCACACAATCGAACCAGTGATGGTTTGACTACGAATCGCGCAAACAAGCATAAATACGAAAGATGATCGTATGCATTTGTCTCCATGTATATTGCGTGCACCTGCAAATTCTAAAAATCTCGGATCTGTGGCTATTCGGTTGTCTATTTTGATCGATGTTACTCTGAGCGGACGATTATCTGGCTTTCTGTATTCGATATATATCTTTGTCCTGACTGAGGCGAGCTTCAAGCTCTACAGATGATTTTCTGGTTCTCTCAGCTCTATATCTATTCTTCCGAAGCTGGCTGTGGCGAGCCACACGTACTATTGTCGATTTTTCATCTCTTGCTGAACGAGCTATTTTGGCATTCGATGTACTTAGTTCAATAAATTATGATTTTAATCGAATCTTATTTTTATGTTAATACACCACACACATTGTACAATAATTCAGTCCTCACTTTTTTTTTTTTTTTTTCGAAAAACCTTCCTCTTGAATCAATTAAAAATAAACTCACATCAAAATCCGTTGCGTAGTTTTAAATATCTAAGCATTCATTCAAACGCGGGAAGCGACTTTGTTTTATACTATTTATTATAAAAATTAGTTAGGCTGTATGATGAAAAATAAAATGAATTAACAAAAACCAAGTGCAATAAAATTACCGTTTATGAAATGTACGTATCTCGTATAGAGTTCAAACGAAAAGAATCTGATCAAATCAATGGAAAACAAAATGATTTGACATTTCTTTTTTTTTTTTTTTGTTAGAAACAGTAGTAGCTTACATTGAACATTCCAATCATTAATTTGTATGGTTACGTCATTGCGCAGTTCACACTTGCTGTAGTTTATCACCGTTCTGTATCACATGTTACCTATATTATGGCTACGATCTATAAAAAATAATAAACACCGGTGCGCACACAGATGCGCTCTGATAATCATACGATATTTATACTCTTTGCACATTCACGATTTCGGTTGCACGGAGCACGTCATACATTCGTCACGGTTACTTTGGGAATACATCGTCGAGATTGTAGGTATATCACAACGTAATGTATTACAATAATACACATATATGTGTTCACCCCGCGGTGACCAGACGAATCACAATGGATTGCATGTGATGAATTCGGGAACGTCCGTCACGGGCGTAATCATAATATTATTTATACATTTTATTCTGTAACATAGCATCGGGGCAGAAGGTCCAGTAGTAAAACGTGATTTTTAGATTTTACTCGGCAATTATTGTTATCATCTAATGAACTACGATAGCAAGTCGAAGTGTAAAATAAAAAATGTACTCGATTGTTTTATTGATTACGAATTTATTTAATTTTATAAATATATACAGAAGTAGTATAATGTACGTACAGGGGTGGAACAGCTAGGCAGGCAAAGGGGCGATCGTCTCCTGGGCACTCGATAGTGTCATATTAATTAATCGGATACAAAATGTAATATTAAAATATAATGGTAATCTAACCTAACCAATCATTTACTATTATAATATTATAATTTGGATGAATTGAACACAGTTAACTAAAAATTTTTATTAATTAAAATATAACGTAGATCCAATTGAACCCTCCTCCCTCCTCGGGGGACCCTCGATAACCAGTCCACCCTGTGTATAACTATAAAATAGTTATTTTATATAACTATAAAACATTCCATCACAATTGTAGAACTGTTTATTTAACATTAAATATCGGTCTAGGAAACAAAAATAAATTGTTGACATGCATATTACAGATATTCAAGAATTATAAAAATCCACTGGGGGAGGGCCATTGAGCGTAGCGAGCTCTTGAACCCTCAATTGTTATTGTAATGATACAAAATTACGGTATAAATGTTTTAATATTGTCTTATAGTATATAATATTTTATGAAATCATTATTTTTTACGCAATTGTATTGCGATGCATATTACATATAATTAAAAAACGAACAAAAACGTATCATGTATCGGACGGTCAAAACGAAACTCTCGTCTGTTTCACATCTGTCGCTGTACCTAATATACTTGTACGCCTGGTTATGGTGTCCGGAAATCCTGGATACGCGGTACAGTGTTAAAATCGAATGTACTCCACGGCCAGGACGTCAATGCGGCTCATTCCGGATGAACGTTGAACTCCGGAGGATAGAGGGCACCATAAAAATACAAAGCTTACCGTATTGTAACGCTATGTTGCACGAATAATAGCATTGTCGATATTTAATCGACTGTTTCAGTATCCGTACGGAGTAAAATAACCAACAATTTAAACGAGTCTCCAACGTACCACGTGTTCAAGTTTACGTATTAATTTTACGTTTTTAGTTTTTAATCTACTGGTAACGTGAGCGAGTAATATTATCTATATGAACGTCGTCTCTTACCGTATTATGATCTCCGAAACGAGTGTAAGTGGTCTGAAGGCTAAACAAACCAATTTGCGATTGTGTCGGGTCTGAGTCGATGTCGCGTACGTCTAATGGCCGTTTGTCATCCGACGATGTAAATAAGTCTGTGCAGGTTTTACCAGAGCTGTCGGTCGGAGTGTATCCGAGTGTTCCTTTTCCGCCTCACCGTTAATATTTTGAAATAATTATACTTCACATTACTCCCAGGTGGGTGTGTTGCCGATTGAACAAAAAAAAAAAAAAAAAAAGATCTTAACAGTTCGGAAATGAAAAGGACACTATTGCACGGTCTTTTATTGGTAGGATTTTACAATTATACATTTTATGGTGTACTTTGACGAGCAAAAGTTGGTTTCATGTTCGGTGCTCCTGTTTCCCGCTGGAATCCGACGTAAGTTTAACGTACATATGATTATAACACCATATTCGAAAAAATGATCTAGCTAAACAATCATGCAACGAGCGAAAATAATTATAGGGCTTGGAAAAACAACCGGGGATGAATGCACTTTTTCACGAACTATTATGCAGGATAAAACCACGTACATTCGGGTGCAACTTTAAATCGGACGAATATAAATGAAACGCTAATAATTTTGATTTGAGTGGATTTATTTCGGCTAACCGTAGTCAACAACTTTTTATTATGCAATAACACCTTTTGCGATTCGTAAAATATTGCAGTTGGAACGAACGCGGTTTTGAACCGTTCAATGTTTTACGTGTTATCCGTCGAGTTTTTATCATCTCGAACCCGTTTCCGTTGCTGCCCGTCGCCGGGATCGGAGAGCTCTTTTTCACCGTACGGTATTGTTGTCGCGGCTGCTGCGAACACCAAGAGCGAGTGCGTCCCCTCCGCACGCGTGCCGCACCGGACGGTCGACGACCATTGCGCGCCGAGCTACGGACGAAACACGGCGGCGGCGGACTCCCATTGTCCTGCGAACCGGTCGGTTCAAGGTCTCGCCGCGACCGGGGGACCGCCCGAACAAGAGCGCCGTAGCGGCAGTACGCGTTGCGCCCCACCGGTGGACGGTCCGTCGGCACGTCCGTTGCGCGCCCGAGAAGTCGTCCGTGTACTCCGATCGCGACAGTGCCTCGTGTGTGTGTTCCGGTAGTGTGCCGCAGGCGTGTGCGCTCGTCCGGCGGAACAGAAATCACGTTACCGGGTGATCGCAAGCCAAACGCAGGTAATTTGTTGTGCAAGTGTGCCCACCCGGTGGGAACGCTCTCTGATTTTCGTCATTTTTGAACCACGACGGAACACGCAAAAAAAAAAAAACGCTCCCCCCGAACCGGCTCGAGGTCGCACGTGTTCATAACGATCGGGAGATGCCGACGATTTTGTGCAACGCTCCGATTTATCGTTGCATGTGAACAAGTACAGCGGTGCTCAAAGTTTTCGTTTGGCGTCGAGCACGTTCGGTTCGACATTTTTCGCCCCTGCACACCCGTCGCTACGTTGCCCAACTTGACCCCGGATCTTCGACCGGCTTTTGGAACGCTGACGTCGACTCGAACGGGGACCACCGCATGAGCACGGTCGTTCCTTCCATCCGTGAATAATTATTTTCCGATTTCGCGTCCCGAGTGCAAAACTATTCGTCTTCTCAACGGCGTGTTCAGCAGACTGGTTTGCATAGTGCGAGCTTTGTTTTTGTTTCATACATAAATATGCTAAGAAATCGGTGATCAGTCATGGCATGGCACGAACTCTTTTCGGGGTGTGCGAAAGGCTGCCATTGCCCCCCTCCCCCTCCGAAAATTAGTTAAAACGTTCAAAATGCTTGTAAAAATATACGCACGCGTACAAATGTCTCAATAACAGTTTGATTTAAAAACTTTTTTAAAATAAAAGTCACTGAATAACCATTTATTATGTTATTATGACTGTCTTCGTAATTAAAATTCAAAATAAATTACGAAAAAATAAATTAAATATATTACACTTTAAATGGCTTGAGTAATATATTTAAATAGTGTAAATTAACTAAAACATAGACATATACTCGTTAAAGCATAGTACTTTTTGATTTCTTTTTGATTTCGTTGATAAATTAAATTGTTGTATATTAGTATATAATATTTGTTTCAATATAAATTAAAATGTTTGGGATTGAATAAAATAGTATAATAATTATAGTGTAATACAAAATCGTATAATATAAATTTAATGACCAAATACGTCATGATTTTTATTTATTTTAGATATTTTTAGAAATAAGGCTCTGTGCTCAAGATATGCATCTGCATAACCCACGCACGTGCACGAGATTTACCTGTCGGTTACGTTCATGTTACTGTTGAAGAGTTTGCGACGCCGGGCTTGAGTTAAGAATTGTGTCACCGCGGTAATTTATCATGATGGGATTAGGTAAAAAAACGAATAAATAATCAAATAGTTACACGTACGATTACGTGGTTAATGTGTACGTGCTACCACCCATGGGTGCTTATGGGTCATGTGATTCTTCGGCAATCCCTGGTCTCAGAGATAAACTACTCAATACCCTCTGCGATCCCGACCCTACACTGATCCTCGGGATCGTTTTGCACGATATCACCCTTATAAACGATCGTCTACGATAAAGTCAGTAGTTGGCCGTACACGAATAGTTTAACAATCGTATTTGGAATGACATTCCTCTCTACCGCCGATATGGTCTGCAGATTTGTCATAGTACAAAACTTTTCTACACATACATTGTCATTTCAGATATACCGAACTATCCCGCCCCCTTGAAATATAGTGACTAGATATGTTTATATAATTTCTCTTGATTTTTCGACTAAGAGATTTTATTTTTCAATAATAGTATAGACAATATTGTCCTAATAAGTATAGATTGAGATAATATTATTAAGGAGTCTGCACAAAAAGCTAAAAAATATTTGTAAATTTCTTATATTGAATAAATTTGTATTAAAAAGTTTATATTTAGTATCTACTAAGGTCTGTAAATTTAAAAACTACCGATGTTTCAATATGTTTATGAATATATATTTAATAAATTATCTGAACTATGTTGTTACTTGTTGTGTATACATATATATTTTGGTTTGAGGAGGGGGGGGGGGTTAAAAAGTGAAATTTTAAAATCTGCCCTCATACGTCAAATTTGTTAACCCGGCAATGCTAGTGTACTACTATTTGGTATTTATGTATTTTAAAACTTGGGTACTAACTATATGTTGACGAATAACGGGTGTTTGTCTTTGGCACATAAGTGTGCACTTCTATATATTATATATCTATATAAGCGTACTTCTACCATAATTACTATTATATTTTTGTTAATTTTCATGGACCATGTAGTGACTCTCATCTAACACTAACATTTTAATAACCATATGACCAGTATGGTTTATATACCATGTTATGTCGCGACGTTGCTACCGCAGCTGACCACCATTAATTGATAATTATTATAAACAGTAGTTTAGGAGCCTATTAATATTGAAAATCCTGGCCACTGGCGTCGTTTGCACCGAAAGCAGAGCTGCTGCGCACAGCGTACGTTACCGTGTACGTGTAACAGTCGTGTGAGGTAAAACAAGCGATTATAGTGCGTTGGAAAATTGCACAAAGGCTTTGGCTGTTCAGTGTCGGTTGAGTGAACCCGTTGGGACGTGTTTTTGGTCGCGGCGGACGATAGACGTGCACGCGATCGACGCGCATGAAATGCACTCGTCCAGACGGGTGAATTTATATTTCCACCAAAATCCGCGTTCCGATCCATAACGAACACCGGTTTTAAAACGCCGGGATTTCATACGAAAATAAATATGTTTTTGGAAAAGTGAAATTCTATAATAGTAGAGTAGTACACGACAATGTTTTCTTTGGCTCCACGATATGGACTCAATGACACGTGTTATTCGTCTATGTCCGCGGTATTCGTCGTCACTACAAGTCGTCGAACTGTTTGAAGAAAGCGTTTTCGACGTTCTTTCGTAGGATTTTAACGGCGTGCGAGAACCGAGTGTATACAATTCAACACTACTTACTAGATCGTTGGTTTATTATTGAGTAGATAGGAGCAAATCGAATATTTGATTTTTTTCGCAATATGTAACAATGTTCTTGCAGTAGGTACACCTCTACAGCGGCGTTACATCGATTAGACAGTGAACACATGTTGAACTTTGATGACGTCAAACTTTTTCCAATACCCTAATGGCCTTAACGCGAAACAAACGGATCTAGTCGAACAAGTTAACTTAGCATTTTTTTTTCTTTCTATTTGAACATATGACTTCCATAATCTCCCACCACAAGAAATCGGATTCGTTGTGGCTGCTATTAAAACTCGACATACCTACATACGTACGTAGTGAGCTGAATTCTGTCTAGGTTTTGGACGTTACTCATTTCACGTATACCTTCGTTTTCTTGTAAAAAACATAAAAAGTATAAAATCATATAACGAATTTGCTATCGTATTATTGTACTTTTTTTTCATATAAGTCTTCTACGGAGGAGGGTCAAAAAAAAAAAGCTTCGAGGGCCGCGGATTGGACCACTCCGACTTAAGGTACGGTTCACTTAACCTGTGCACTACTATCTATTGTTTTGAAAGAAACTGGTTTTGTTCGAGCAACGTGCTGCACGCAGTCAACTGCAGTGTTTTTTTTTTTTTTTTTTATTAATAATTACCTCGTAATTATTAAAACTTAACTGGGTTATGAAATATCGTGAACTTGTCCAAGCTTGCGTTTTGGAGCGAATCGTCATGGGAGGTAAGGTTCTCCGTTCGACTTCCCTTCCCCAGATTATACATGAGTGGCAACGTGCGATTAACTTTTTTCACGGGAACCCATATTACACGCCCGCGGATGAATGGTTTCTCGAAGCAGTCGATTTTCTGTCGCGACTGACTACCGATGTCACCTTCGAGGATCGTACGCTCGGTCTCGTTTCTCGTCTCAGTTATCGTTAAAACCGGTCCGAATGTTTGTTCGGCTTCACGTGACGCAGACAAGTTTCTTTCTCTTTATCTCTCTCTCACTCTGTATATATATATATATATATATATATCTATGTTTATGTTTCGTTGTCGTCCATACGCTTGAGCATCGGGTACCATTATCTTTAGAGTTCCGTCTCTACGTTCGCATATATTATATTTGTTCTCCGATGACTCACACCACCAAAATAAACGAGTAACATCAGTGGCGACCATCATATGCATTTACACATATATATTGGAGGAGGATAAAAGTTTTAAAATTGAATATGAAATTCAAACATCTGAACTATCCGAATATTCGGATTTGAACTGAATTCTTATCCAGATTTGCTGAAGTATCCGGATTTATGGATTTGATTTTTATAAAACTTGTAATTATATTTAATTTCCAGTAAAATGAATTATTTATTATTATATTGTAACATCAAATTAATATTATATTTTATGAATTTCAGTATACATTTCATCATGACTTCGACAATTTTTTTAATTTATTGTTAGCTATCAAAATAACGATTAAATTGTTTTGTGGACGACGTGCCATCGGCGATTTACTTTTTATGTTTCGTTCACACGTTGATTTTTAATAGTACCCAGGCCCACCTGTACAAATATTTTTCGCCTTAAAAGAAAAATTGTATTGCCGTTCTTTAATACAGATGGAAATTGAATTTAAAAGTATGATGTAAATGCATAATAATTTACAGCTAATGTTTTTAGAAGGACAACACTCCAGGTGATGTACTCGGCTATGTAGTTTCGGTGAACACGTCATAAATTGTATTAACTTTCTTAAAAGTTCGACTTATTCGGTAAACTTTCTAAAAATTTCTTTTCGTACAATATCTTGTCAAAAAAAATTGTGAATATAAAAAAAAAATAGAATCCAGAAGTTCTCAGATTATTTTCTTACAAATATGGGGCAATTAGTTTTTATTCATAAAGATAATAATTGTAAAAATTCCTTTATTCACTATATCTCCGGATAAGTACAAGTTGGTGACCCTCTTATTTGGGACGATAGGCGGTCATCTGGTACCGAATTGGTTCTCGAATTCCAACCCTACATTCTGAATTGGTTCCTGTTTAAAAGAGATATTTTATTAGGTATAGCCAAATTGGTTTCCGTTTAATTGCACACATTTATCTTCTTAATTTTACAAGATTAGGACTGTCAACTTTAAAGTAGGCTTGGTTAACAATGTGCGTTAATATGTGTTAAAAAAAATTATAAAATATATACAATTTTAAATCATTGATTTGGAAGTCAACTAGTTATCACTTAGGTTAGGTTACGATGTACTATATATAACCACTGTACAAAATACAAATAATAAAATGTAATAAATACAATTTAAAACCACTGATTTAAAAATTTAAAGCAAACTTTCTTTAAATATTCAATTCTCGAAATCTTCTCATTAATGTATTCACTCATACAATTTTCAGAGTATTTGTTATTTCATTCCTGTTTGCTAGTAATTTGCTAGTCTCTAGTCTATTATATTTCTATATTTCAACTCAGGGGTCGGCAACTCGCGGCCCACGGGCCGCATGTGGCCCGCAAAGCAATTTTTTATAGCCCGCACTAAGGTGGTTAATTTTTGTGTTTTATTTTTGTTCAATAAAATTTTTCATACAATTTTCAATACTATTCAATTTTTTTTTTTATAAATAAAATGTAATCTAATCGTTAATAGTTGATGTTGATTCTATATAGTTGTATAGTCAGTTTAATCTATACAATTATTATTATTATTTAATCGGAGTCGAAGATAATGATGGCTGCACTATTCAGTCATAGGATAAATTAAATATACTTAAATATACTTAAATATAATTAAATATATATTTAAAAATTAAAATTTTAAATATATTTAATCTATGTATTTAATACATATGTATCTAATATAATCTATGGTCATAGTTACTTTGCGTTTATAGCAATTAGTATTACACCGTGATTACGCCCGTACATGTGACTATTTGCGTTTATGATAGTTTAATTTTACAAATAAATCCAAATATTATGGCGACTAAAAAAAGAAAAATTTGTAATGAACATTGTTTTTTTAATAATTCTTGGGTTGATTTATACTTTTTCGTCGAAAACAAAGGTAAGCCTTTATGTTTAATTTGTCAAAATATTAAATTTTTTCTTAAAATGTTTTTTTAATGTGGCCCTTGATAAACATTTGAAAAAAAATATGATCCGCGTGGTTCAAAAGGTACCGACCCTTGCTCTATCTTATTGATATTATAATTGTGTCTATATGTTATACATATAGCTTTTAAAATTTTGTTTTTTGCTCTCTGTGCCTTGGCCTGCTAGACTTTAATTCTTAATAGTGTAGGTAAATTGTGATAAAAATTAAAATCGTCACTATTTTACCTGTACACAAAC